GCAGGGGTTTGATGGCTTACCTGGTTTGGCACTGAACCGCGCACTGCGATAGAGGGATCTCGCACTTCCCTTTCGCGCACTAATCCCCGGGGAAAGTCTCGATCATAGTTCTGAGGTCGTGGTGGTGGTGGTGGCTGTGGCTGGTATTGGCGTTGAGGCGGCTGCCTTTGGAGCGGAGCAGCCTGGACCGCTCTTCGATCCCAGGCTGATTGTTGCGGACGCGGGGCAGGAATGTAGGTGGGTTGAGGAGCATTTCGCTCGTCTTGCATCTGCTTTCTATATTTATAGACCGGACAACTAGTTGACATTGCCCGGTGTGCTCCATTGCAGTTCGCACAGACCGACTGCTTGTCTCTGTTAGGGCAGTCGGCCGTCATGTGTCCTTCTGCACATTTGGAGCACTTGCTCCTTCTGTGGCACCCAGTCATCGTATGGCCCCAGGCTTGGCACTTGACGCACTGGGACACCTCTTTCTTGTGTTTCCTCTCCTCCCACTGTACCCGGGAAGCGTGGACTATTTTGCACGTGGCTCTGATTTTGCTTAGTGTCCAATCCGCTGTGGTTACTACCAGGTACAGGGGGTTATCCTGCCCCGTGTTCTTCATAGGGAAAACCTCCTTCACCCTCATGTTGTATCTGTCTGTCAGATAGTCCTTTATTTCAGACGGTGCGTAATTCCCCTTCATTTTGCGCATTACGAAGGCGTGAGTTTTGTCAGTGGGAGCAGTGTAGGTATGGAATTCCGCACCGTCTTGTCTTAGGTGTCTGGTCATACTGTCGTGATCTGTCATGTTCTTCACGTACAGTATGACCGAGTTTCTCGCATACTTCATTTCGAGTGGCGCACTGGTGATGTGTGACGCCATCTCGAGAAACTCCTTGTGATTTGAGAGCTTTCCCTTAACCACTATTGGGGGGGGAAGGGCTTTCTTTCCCGTGGCTTTGGGTGAAGGAGGTTTGGTTTGTATAGAGTCTGCCACCTTGGTTCTTATCTCCTCTTGGGAGTTGTCCTGTGGTGTTGGCTCTGGTTCTGGCTCGGGGTCTTTGGTTTCTAGCACCTGGTACCTGTTTTTTGTTTCAATTTGAAACAGCCTGCCAAAGCCCGTCGCCTTGATTAGTGCCAAGGGGGCAGAGTCCGGTTTCGGTGACGAAGTTCGTGGAGGGGGTTTGGCAAAATCTTTGCTTTCGGTCACTTTTTTGGCCTTATGATCTTCCGGACTTTCGATCATTGGCCTTTTATTAGACTGTTTGGTGGGTTTGTTTTTCGGTTTAGGAATAGGGTGGATCCTCATAATATGACTTATTATAGTCTCTAGCAAATGCTTTGCCTCATCTTCAGTGTGGGTCTCCAGGAATTTGAGGCTTTTCCTGCATTCCCCACAACCTTCAGTGTGTAGTCCAAGCCTGGCTTTTATTTTTGGGACGCTCCTTTTTGTCACATTTGTGGCTGTTGAAGCGTTTGATGAAAAGCTCTGAACGCTATCATTGTCCGAGTCTTCATTGGCACACACGCCGTCCATATTGGGACCCCCTTCTGGGGTACCCGGCATTTTGTGGCCTCCCCTCACTTAGTTTGAGTGACTACCCGTTTTATGGCAAGTGCCCCAACTTTTGGCAAATGCCTCTACTTGGCGACGTCCCCTTATGTGTGCTCGGTGGAGGTCGACGGAAGAAGTCGCCGTACCCTGACTTGTTTCGGGAGATGTTCTTTGGATACGTCCCCTGACTTCTTTAAGGTAGGGTCTGCCTACCCTGCCTTCAGTACGAAACCTGACTTGTTTCGTACTTCTATTAGATTTCGACGTACCCTGACTTTTCGTTGTTGTAGTCAGAAAGTACGACCCCTGACTTATTTAAGTTGAGTCTGCTTGCCTTAGTACGAAACCCAACTTGTTCCGTACTACTGGTAGTTTCGACGTACCCTGACTTTTGTGGTGTGCCAGTCTAAAGTACGTCCCCTGACTTGTGTTGAGACTTAGAAAAATTTTGGTCTGCGTACCCTGACTTTTGGCCTGGTGGTATGTAGGTACGTCCCCTTACTTGTGTTTGGGACTTGGTAGGTTTCAAGTCGCGGTGTGTGGTTGGGTACGTGCCCTGACTTATATTGGGACTTGTGATTTTTATAAGTCCACGTACCCTAACCTGTTTTGGTTGATGTTGGGATATGCGTCCCCTGACTTATTTTGGGACTGCGTCGCAATGCTGGTGCCCCAACTTTTGGAGCGGTTGGGTACCCTCACTTTTCTTCTGCTGTTCTCGGTTTTTGATATGGGTTGGATTGGAGGAACCCTTACTTATTTCAATTTCCAATTTAGCCGGAATTTCAGACGAAAAACTGCCTATCTGTTTTCCGACCAATCTGGCCGAAAATTATATGGGCCGAAGCCCCGAAAAAATTCTGGATAGAACTGCTATCCAGAACTTACCCAGCGATTGTTTTGGCACTAGAAACTTATGAAAATCTAAGCACATTCCTTATGGAATGTGCCGACAAAAAATACTGTTGTTGCACACAAGAATGCGGTATAAAAAACTTTGTTTGTTTGCGTATCGAGCATCCGTTCAGGCTGACGATCGGACGAGAACTTGCTTATAATACCTTAAGGTGTTTTTGTTGTTGTTGTTCTATTAATTTGCACTTTACCCTAGGCAGCCACTAAATGTCTGACCGAAAATAATTTTCGGTCTAGCCAGGATTCGAACCCGGTCTATCATCAATGTTTCCCATGTAGTCCAGCGCGTTAACCTACAGGACCACCACCGTTGCCTTGCCTTATGAGATGTTTATAGATATATTAATGTATTTCGTTTCTATGTACAGGTCGCAGGTACAGGTACAGGTCACAGGTACAGGTACATGTCAAAATACAAAACAATATTCTGTCACACAAGTTTAACTGATTTTGTTAATAACAAATTGATGAAAAAACATTGTGTTGAGTAGAAAATAAAGCATTGTATGCACCACGGGGATTTCAAGATTATAATGCCCTTCAGGCGAAATATATCCCTCGGGCCATAGGCCCTCGGGCTAGTTTCGCCTTCGGGCATTATAATCTACATAATCCCCTTGGTACATAAATAGCTATTATTGGTAGGTACCTAAGTGTTATTGCTTAATGAATAACCACCCAGTTGGGAGTAGGTGAATTTTAAAACATCCTAACTCAAGTAGGACTACTACTATAAAAGACTACTAATTACTAAAACTTGCAGTCGAATGCTAGAAAAATTAGAAGCTAAATGTGCGAAAAGCTCGTCTCCAATCTTGATCTATTTTTTTTGCAGGTCATGAGAGACGATGCCAAATTTTAAAGAACATTAACGTCACTAAGCAAAAATTCCTATCCTCAAGGGAAAAATATCTTTATTCCAAAGTTATAGAATCCAGCAATAAGTTAAGAAGAATCAGTAGAAGGTTGTCGTCATTTAAATCCAAAGTTTCTGCTGCTGAATAACTTGCATCATAAACCAAATTTCAAAGGCTCGTAGACCACGTCAATCCATTGATATACAGCTTTATTTTAAGCCAAGTCCGTACTCAAAACCAAAAGCCTAAAGCTAGACTATTTACATTGGACGAGAAGTTGTTGGCGTTCTCTTTGCTTAAAGCTAGTGGTAAAGGGTATAGACTATTATCAAAAATAGGTATTTATTCTATCATCCAGGCGAAATCAGTTTCTTGAATGAGCTTTATAATATGTATAACTACATAAACTTTCTACCTAACACATGCGGAAAGTGTATTTTCTGGACTTAAAGGCTTGTCCGAACTCTGCTTTTTGTTGTCATTCGTGCAATTTCCATTACGTGCAGAAACACTTTCCTCACTTGTTAGGTTAACAACGATTTTGGATTGTGAGAAAAGGACCTCTTTTGTCATTTTATTTACGATTTAAGTTTTTCATCAAGCTATTGTTAAATGTACGTCATTACTTCTTGTAACTGTCCTTATTATCTTTAACTTAACTAGCATTACCTACCTATGTATGTATACCTACTTACATGAAAAAAAACTGTTTCGCAATAATTGTAATTAATTCCATATTCTATTATATTTTCTGTTTCAAACTTTAATAAATATCTATATTTGTCATCTTAATTCTTAGTCAATTTTACCTTGAAGGCGCTTCAACACTACCGTTTTTATGAGTTTCTTCTTTTTGGCACGATTATTTTATGCCAAAAAATGGTATAAACTTTAAAGTGGTGGTGTTGAATCGCTAGAATCAAACAATGGTGCAAACGATCCACCGGAACGAATAAGATACCGAACGAACCCTAATTGCGTTTTGCATTCGCCAATAAATCCAGAATTACAAAAGCTGACCCCACCAGTCACTAGAAGCGCTGGAAACTTATAGACAGGTTCTCAACACGGCACTTACCTTTCTAAGGGGGGATGTTTTGTGATTGAGGTTAGCTTAAATACGTCAGGGTCAGACCGTGTTCAGTAAATTGACGATTTAATTATCTGTCACCCACAAGATGCGCGCGCAGCACAGGTAAAATGAGAAAGGTCCATTTTCAGTCTGCTGTGCGTTTAGTACGGTCACATACCGTGCATTCGGTATTTTGATCTGAGTTCTCTGAGCATGAATTTATCGTTCGTTTATTCAAAAAGTGTACTCGGTGCAGGCTCATTCACGTTCGTTTAATAAAATTTCGAGCCCTCTGATACAGCGTTTAACTACTCTGTGCGCTCGCTGGTCACGTGATTACGGCTCCGCTCTGCTCTTTGAGCAAAATACCGAGCGCAAGGATGACCTAAATTATTTTTTACCGTACTGCGCATGACATAAGTAGGCACGCATCGAAAAAGCTGGCAGCTTGCAACCTTCACTTCGGAGTCGACGTGCATGCCAGCACGGAATTGAATTGAGGATGCCAACGTTAAACAACATTTACCTAGGTTGCGTGCCGAAGTGCCACTTCCGCTACTAAATTGATTGAGGATGAGCCTTAAGAATTGCCATTTCAGTCACACCCATAAAATTGCACTCACACCCGGTGTGTTATTTCTGAACTCGCCCCAGCTATGCATTATTCACGGCTGGTGTGCATTCGGTGTGACGCCCAGGGTGATTTCGAACGCACTGTTGTATTTGTGTGTCAGCTTTCAGTGTTGTTTAAACAAAAAAGTTAGGTTAAGAAAAAATGCGGAAAATATTTTGCTTTTGCCTTATTTGAATTTTTGTTTTGGATTAGTGGCTCGATTTTCTGTGAATGAAAAATGTTGGAAGATAGTTTTCCGTAAGTTTTAAAGCATAGTTTACTAACAAGAAGTTACTAAACTAACCTAACCACCTCATATTTATTTACAGAGTATGGCAAAAACTATATCAAATAATCTCCGGCAGCAACAAGCACCTCATAGATGGTGTCCTCGATCAAGTTATAGAGATATGCAAGATAAATTTACCAAATACTCTATTAAATTACAAGGTGTATACCAGAGAAAGCTACGAAGAATATGGGAAAAAAAACCAATCCCAGTCCGACTTGAGTAATGATATGTTTAATTGCATTCAGAAGATAAGCAGAGAATTGGTATGTATCTAAGTACTAGAGCTTAAATTTTTTTGTGATACAAACACATTTTTAAATAGCAATACTTTTAATTCTTGCCCTGCTTGAACCTTATTGAACAAATCTTTCGTAAGAAATATTTATTTTTCATTCAATAAGTAGTCCGTGTATTGGATGCATTTGCGCAAAACTATTATAATTATATTCAATAGCCGAGTCAATAGTATTCTATTCCTGCTAAAAGATCGTAGTGACACCCCATCAAAAAAATATTTGTATGGAGACAAACAAGTTCCTAGATTTCCACCAATTTTATTTTTATGATGCTGGAACATGTTTCAGTGCCGGGCCTTTTTCAGGTGGAATAACTAAACCAATATGCTAGAATATATACAAAATAGCAGGTTAGCAACATAACTAAAAATGTACTTGAAACTTGAAACATATAAAAGCAATAAAAAACAATAATAATAATATGGGGTAAAAATTATGTCGATCATGCCTATAAATTTAACATAGACCTTTTATTTTTATTTCAATACTCTCAAGATAATTTAATTTTTTGGATTTATCTGGGGATTAATTTTGTTTGTGCAAATTTTTAATACCTGATTCAAAGTCATGATTTTTCAAGTGATTTTCTGAATTTAGATGTAATGCGTTATGTGAAAGGGTGTAATTTTGTTATGTGGCTGGATTATTGTTCTTTAATTCTTGTTTTGGAAGATCTCAAGCTGTTTGTTCAATGTCCAATATATTTTCAGACAAATATCACATTCTAATAAGTATACTCCTGATTTGGATAGTTGTTCGATCTAGATTTGTTAATTTAATTTACCTAAGTTGTTATTATTCCTAAAAGGTTGAATCTATAAGGTTGTATATATTTCAGACTTAAAAACAGAGTTTCAAGGCGTTATCAAAATCTTAAAGAACCTAAATTTAGGTTACAGTTGAAATTCATTCTAGAAGGAACTTATAATATAATCACTTAATGGGTATATCGTATCTGTATAGAATTTCTTAAACATTCTTAATAAAAGGACAGTACTAAGTATGGTATCAGACTATTCAAAACTAGTTAAAAATCTAAATCTGTGACCCGCTGTTGCAAAAATTCTTCTATTGAATAAAAGCATTTACTTAACAACAATTGCTTGATTTTATTTTTAAAGGTTTTATTAGAATATTTCGTATTGAAAGGTCTTTTCTTTTCTTTTTCTTTCTTTCTTCTTCTTTCTGTTCTTTCTTTCTTTTCTTTTCTTCTTTTCCTTTTCTTTCTTCTTTCTATTTCTTTCTTCTTCTTTCTTTTTCTTTCTTTTTTTCGGCAACGAATATAGTTTGAAGAGTTGCTATGAAAATATAGTAGAGACTCTAGGATATATTGTGCTAGAAGAGTCAATATATTTAGGTCCCTGATGGATGATTTGACATCATCTCAGTATTTGATGCCAGCTACAATTCTAACTGCTCTTCTCTGCAGACCCAAGATGTGAGAGGCATAACAGGAGTGTCTCCATGCTAGAAGTCCATAGACGATCACTGGATGAAATAGACCATAGTACGCCATTGTTGATGTTTCTCTGTCTATAATTTTCGATATATTACGAAGAACATAGATTGCAGAGCATATTTTTTTGAGATAATGTTGACATGCTGCTCAAAAGTCAGCTTCGCGTCCATTGCAACTCCTAAAAATTTGATTTTTCCAGGGTTATATTTTATTTTATGTCATATATTTACGGGAATAGTATACAATCAACAAAAATAAAGTTATGCAAAATATACTTCTTACTACCAATTATTCCAGAAAACTTAACAAAAACTTAGTAAAAATACCCTAGTTAATAAAAAGTTAAACTCTCTATCAGCTTTTTAAGGTTTGACAGTGAAATATCAATGATTTCGATGTGATGATGATTAACTAGTATAGAATAACGTTCTAAAGGCACATTTTGACCATAATTTGTTCAGTGGAATGGAATGTAAAAAGTTGTAATATTGTTCCTTCTAATCCTACTAGATATTTCGATATTTATACATTCAACTAGGTCCGGAGTCCGGACTATCAATGTTGCTGTTTACCCGATTATGAATGAAAGTTAAACCTGCCTTATTTCTGCGCTCATTCAAAGTTTTTATACTTTACTAAATTTTGAATCTGGGTTTATAGTACAGTAAATAGAGACAAATTAATCGCATTTACTAAAAAAAAATACTAATGGCTAAAATTTTGAGGGTGTGTTTGGGGGCATGTCCTGAATCTAAAACTGAGTTTTCGTATTCGAGAGGGTGGGGGAAGATACTACCCCCTCTTTATGTAGGGTTGAGTTCGTTTTAATTCCTTATCTTCAGTGCTATTGCCCGTACCGTCAAGTCCGAGAGAACAAATTTGTGGAAAATAAAATTATCTATCTAATAAATAAATAAGCCTTTATTTCCAACAGGAACAAGTCCCAATTACAGGAAAAATGAGTTTTCTGTACATATTACAATCATGACGTCTTAATAATAATAATAACAATAGCAATCAATAATAATAATAATAATAATAATAGAGAGAAAAATTAACTGTTCAGTAAAGCAACGATGATTCTTGACAATCGGTCCTCATTAATATCGCACACACTTGAAATACCATTGAATACAGAGCACACAAAATATAGTGGGCATTGCATTAAGATGTTTGACCTAGCCCTACCCAAGTGAAACGTTGAGTCATATCTCTCCGCCAGACGTGGAACCCGAAACTGAATCCCAGCCAATAGCGAGGGACAGTCGATTACATTGTGTAGTAGGTTATACAAGAACTTAACACCCAGTACTTTTCTTCTAACTGAAAGCGATTCTATATTGAATCGTTGTAAATACTGGCAATGTTCAATGCCTCTGGGAGGATATGACCCATCTAATCTGAATGTTACATACTTTAAAAATTTTCTTTGAACATTTTCAATTGTGTTAATGTGGCACTCGTAAATAGAATTCCAGATCACTGCACCATATTCAAGCTTGGACCTAACAAAAGTGTAATACAAGAGTTTAAAAGTAAATTCATTTGAGAAGTACTTACTATTTCTAATGATAAACCCAAGCGTTTTAACGGCAGCCGAGCTTACATATTCAATGTGAGGTACAAAAATAAAGCGGCTGTCAAAAACTATACCCAAATCTCTAATTTCGTTAACCCTACTCAATGATTTTCCTTCAATAACATATTGATACAAAATTGGCTCCTTAACTCTACAGTAACTGACAATATTGCATTTTTCAATATTTAAGTTTAGCATATTTTTGTTACACCAAGTGTGTAAGTCATTTAGACAAACTTGCAAATTTATACAGTCCTCCTCACCATTGACAGAGGTAAGCTTCAAAACGTCAGCATATGCGAGCTTTGAACAGGGCAAAGCAGTAATAAGATCGTTTTTAATAAATATATTAAAGAGAAATGGTCCCAAATTGGATTCTTGCGGAACACCTGAAGTGATGTTAAACACCGACGACCTGAAGCCCTCATACTGCACAAAAAGACTTCTGTCGAATAAGTAAGACCGAAACAGGCTGACGAGCCCATCCGACAATCCCAAGGCCTGAAGTTTGGAAAGTAATATAAAATGATTAATGCGATCAAAAGCCTTTTGAAAGTCAGTATAGACTACGTCAACCTGTCGAAGCTTATCCAGACATGCGCAAATTTCATTTGACAAGACAGCAAGATTGGTGACGCATGAGCGACCGTTTATAAAACCGTGCTGTTCATTCGCAATCTGGTTCCTAACATATGGAAAAAGTTTACCATAAAGAATAATTTCAAAAACTTTAGAGAAATTACAAAGTAAAGAGATTGGCCTATAGTTGCTGACTTGGGAGATATCACCTTTTTTATGAATGGGGATAACTTTTGCCACTTTCCATGCTGCAGGAAAATAACTAGTCTTAAGAATAAGGTTGTAAATATGCTGCAGAGGATCGGCAAGTGCACCAATACAATCTCTAACTAGAAAGCTAGGAATACCGTCGGCTCCCGATGTTAATTTGTTATTAAGCTTCTTGCCTGCATCAATAATATCTGTGGTATTAACAAAAGAAAAGTTGATGGAATCAGAACATGACGCAAACTCGTTATTGTCATAGGGCGTAGAATCAATATAAACATCATGAAAAAAGGAACCAAAGCCTTCCACTATTTCTTGGGCATTTGAGTATTGTGTACCATTATTAAAAACTAACCCAGGTATCCTAGTGACATTTTATCTATGATAATAAAATCAAGGTCATAGGACGATTAGGTGAATCACAATGGCCAGTCAAAGGTCAAAAGTGGGGGGTAGTTTTTGGTTTTTCGTGAATACCGTGAAACCGGTAGGTTTTTTCGCATACTGCTTAGATACCATTTCGAAGTTCTTGAAATTACCTACAAAATGAGTGCTCAAACACTCATCAACTGTGAATAATTTGCCGTCAATCCAACGACCAAGTTGACCGCGCGCGCTGATGTTGATTGATTGATTATTATTATAAATTCTTTGAAAGCTTTGGAGGTGTAATACATTCTCGACTGCCTCACTATGAGCTATGTAGTATAGTAAGTTTCTGGCATGTTGGGAAGAATGTTTACCCCAGCTATAATAAATTTAGACCCATTATAAGCACATGAGATAAATAAATGCTTTGTATCCTGGTTCACTTGAATTCGGCTAGATGAAATTTTCTTGTTGACAAAAATCAGAACCCCGCCACCACTAGGCTTTTGGCTAGTTAAGATTGATCTATCACTTCGAAATATATTAGAGTTAGAGTACTCCAATTCACTGTCTAAAATGTCACAATTAAGATTGCTTTTAACTAGAATTAGTATATCATAGAATGAACTATTCACAGCCGGTTTCAGTGCTTAGCCTACTTACATTTTGATAGTATACAATCAATGGGGTATTAACTAGTTTTCCTGGGGTGCCTTTTTCTTGACAATAACTGGCATTCCATTCTTATATTTAATCATAAGGTTGTCCTCACCATCACGCTTCCTACGCTGTAACTCATCATAGGCAACTTTGAAAGGTGCTTGCTGCATTTTAGTGGAATGATACCCAATCTTGTACGGAGAGAACCGTGCTTTCAGTTTTTGTTTGCAGCGAAGGGCTTTCTTTTAGAACACTATGGGTTCATTCAGTTGGTGCCAGCGGATAAGTTCAGCCACTCAGCAGATACTTTATTCTCGAAACAGGAGAGCAGCGTTCTCATGAGAACGAAGGTTCTGTCTTCGTCGTCTGTATTCATATTTCCATAACACTGATAATGACAGAGCAATCGTTCTCATGAGGACACTGTTCTCATTAAGTCCCTGTTAAAAGATGGGAGTGGTACCTACCCCATCTAAAATATCAAAGGATAAAAATGTGACTTGTGTTCAGTTTCTTGCTTTTTTCCAACCCTTGATCTCAAACCGATATTGAAACCAATAAAGTTAGACTTTTGTTTATTTTTGCTTAAAAGTCCGAATTTCTCAAAAACGACTCGTGGCACTTTTAAACTTGCAGGATAGGAAGGAGTTTAATAAAGTTAGACCTTAAGGTATAATTCATTTATAATTGAAATGGGTCCTTTGATTTTTAATTTCTGGCTGCTATCTTGAAAGTCCGAATTTCTCAAAAGTAAGGGGTTTAACAAGGCTAGACCTTAGTTTATAAAACATTTATACTTGGAATGGGTTCTTTGATTTCTCATTTCTGACTCTTATCTAAAAAGTCTGAATTTCTCACAAACTACACAGTATTACTTCCAAACTGGCGGGGTAGAAAGGGGTTTAATAAAGCTAGACCTAAGTGTATTAATCACTTATATGTACCTACTTGGAATGAGTTTTTTGATTTCTCATTTCTGGCTGCTATATTAAAAGTCTGAATTTTTCAAAAACGACACGTAACACATTTATACTTGCAAAGTAGAAAGTGGTTTAATAAAGCTAGATCTGAGTGTATAAAACATTCACTAGGTCATTCATAGGTCCTTTGATTTCTCATTTCTAGATGCTATCTTAAAATAATCAATTTCTCAAAAACTTAACATATCAACACTTTTAAACTTGCAGATAAGAATGGGTCTATAAAGGCTAGACTTTTGGGTATTAAACATTTACTTGAAAGGGGTCCTTCAGTTTCTTAGTTTTGGCTCTCAAAAGTCTGGATTTCTCAGAAAATACATGTAGTAACGATTCTAAACCTCCAGGTAGAAAGAGGTCCATAAAAGCTAGACTTCCTAAAACATTTCCTGTTTTTCTTTCTAAATATTCAGGATTAATTTTTTTTTTTGTTAAACATCCACATACAGTTTATTAAAAATTTTATTTTTTTTCAGGATTTGGACCCTACTTTTGCCTCAAATGTGCTTGGCAACTACTTTGTATTTGCTTACTATGGAAAAATAGATGAACTAAAAAGTATTATACGTTATGAATCCAATTCTAAACTTCTTGTAGAGCAAGTATGGAATTTTTACACTTCTGACCGAATGTTTATGTTGAAAACGTTGCGCTTCATACTGGAGAAAGTTACTGATAAAAGTTTCATTCATTATAAAGAATTTAATATATTTTTAAAAGGCATAGATTTACAAAAATTGTGGAAGAATTTATTGAAAACATTCGAATACCTTATAAAAGAAATAACTGCAGAAAAAAGCAAAATGGTCGAGAATAGTTTATTAATTCAGTGGATGGGAAGGAATAATCGAGAGCAAATCGAGGTATTGCTATTAATGATACTTGTAGTAGATTTAATAGATTTAAACGGTGATGAACTCGAGGACGTGATAAAATTGTTTATGAAGCACGGTTTTGGGAGATATCCACTATTTTATGGAGGTGCTCCAAGTAGAACTCAAGATGTTATTGATATTAAAAATGCTGAAATTGGAGTGGCTTTAACAATAATCCATAGATACTGGTAAGTAACTGTTTCATTATATAAATTATATTACATCATATCTCATATTATATCATTTTTTTTTTGGGTATTACCTACACCTTGATAAAAAGTTTCTTCCAGACACAAATCTTCTTGGTGTTGGGAACAAGACAGAACATGCGCTCAGATCTTCAGTTCATGAGAGTCTATTTGACCTATCCTCCTATCCTATCTTATTATTTCATCATTTATGTTTTGAGTTTTGAGTTTATTTTATTGAAACAATGACCCCTTAAACGTTATCCATGAGTCTCCCCTCATTTTGTTTTCTAACCACCAATGGCACCAAATAGGTACTGTTTTACCATCTTTCTCAACCAGTTTAGGACATGGAATGTCTTAAAGTTTTGGAAAAGAAAACCTTAAGGTTTTCTGATAAATAAGATCTCCACAACTACCCTACTCTCAACAACTCGGACCTCTAGTTTTCATTAACTTGGGAGACCTGTAGAGTATGGAACATGATATATTGATCGAGCATCACATTCCACCTGAAAATTTGCATTTCTTCCAACATTAAACCGCCACAACAGAAGTCCTTGGTAGATGTGCACAGAGAGCTGCAATCCAAGATCCAGCAACCCCTTGATGAGATCTTTTTTGATTCAAACCATTTTACATCCAAAATCTCCCAAACTCAGAAACCAAGATGCAGTCATTGGCGCCTTCTTGCCCAGAGCTGGCCACCAATATCAGCTGTACCAATTGATAACGATTTTCTATTTGAGTTGCATTCTTTGTCTAAGCTGAATAACTATCTGGTTGGCCGTGCAAAAACTTACTGACTAATTAATATTATTACTCATATTACCAGCCCTAGTTTGCTTTCAACACCTTTCCAGAAAGCAATTATTGTTCTTCGTTTGAATGAAATACTGCTACCTACTCAAAAGTATTGTTCTATACCATCAGAAATGTGGCTTTTCCACACGCTCATCTCATTTTCCAATTCCTGATCAATATTTCTGTTCTGCAGGTCAATGATTCTAATCACCATACTTGAGAGCCAAAGCCAAAGCTGTCCTCTGTGAATTTATAATTTTGGTGACACTACCTTTACCCAAGTCCAGCTGCACTTTATGACCCATTTAAATTTTTAGAGTCAACGGCCACCCCTGCCTGAGAGTGGTTTTCCCTCGAAACATAAATCATCAGGTCACAGCTGTTTTTTAACGATTTAAAAATTTGGCTCATCAATATTCAGTTATTGATTAAATGATTTTCGAGCTTAATCTGATATCTGTTTTAGGCAAAATTCTGATAAAATAATCGTAAAACTTTCCAAAGAAGTTGAATCTGATTTACAAAATAAAACCCACGGTGATAATAGTTGCATTTATTTCGTTTGGGGAATTTTTAAAGTTAGTACATCAAACACTGATTTGGATCGCTACAGCAACATTTTAGACAGGATTTTGCATAAAGCTTTCAAAGATCTGTCTGAGGCTGCTACATCGAATATTTTCCAGGTAGGACTGAAATCGAACATAAATAATTTATTGTTATTGAAATATTGTTTTCTTTTTAGAACTGTAAGCCCGGAGATATATTTATAGAGGCTATATATAGGTTTTTTATTGCACTGTGTAACATTGTTGAAGATCAGCGTCTTATTTACGAACAAGAAGGGGTTGTGAAAATATTATGTGAACTTTATAAAAGGCCATATTTACATGCTTTGGATACATTAGGAGGATTTTTCCAAATAGCTTTTGACATGTTTCCATATATGTTAAATAATTTTTTGAATATTGTAGAAGCAGTTATCTTATCTGAAGAATATTACGCAAAGGTAAAACCAATGAATTTTATTTCACACATAATAGGGACATAAAGCTACTTGAAATAATTCGCCGGTATCGGTATCGGTATCCGTAACGCAACTAGATACGTTGACAAGCGAAAAGGCTGTTAAAGCGCTCCCTGTTCCGGTAAACGTAAACGCATCTCATAACCTGGAAATTTTTGTCCCAAAACTCCGGCGTTTTTATATCTAACCTTAAAATTGTTAGTTTTTTTTTGCGATAGAGAAGCACTAAACACACAAGAAACTCAAGAAAGTATAAACTAAACAAATTAAATCAACCCGGAAGAAAAGTGAGGTTATATTCATTTAAAATTTGACACATGCGACGCGTCAGGAATGTCAAGATACGTTACCGATACGGATACCGCGAGAGGGCCGTAACGTTACGTTGTACGTACGGTATCTCGGCCTCCGTATCGCTTCTGCACATGCGCAGTACGATACCGATACGGATACCGAGCAAAAAATACGGAAGCTTTATGTCCCTATTTACCTTTATTATTTTTTCAGATTCTTGCACAACTTCAGAATTGTCCAACTTATTGTACAGAAATGCCATGGCCAGATCGTAATAATTCTGATGAAATGAGGTCCTTAGAAGAAGAATATTTACTACCAGGCAGTGAAAAGTTCATAGTGCCTGCAGGAACTTTATTAGAGAAATGCAATTGCTTTGGAAAAGATATGATAAAGTACCATTACAGATATGATTTTTTCAAAATAATTGAACAATATGTAATATCTCTGACCTCCTGGGCATTTAATAAAGGAGAATATAACAAACTCATATACAGAAATGTTATGCGGGCAAATAAATTTTTGATTTATCTTGTAAAACATTACAGAGGCAATTTTCAACTGGATACACTAATAAGGCCTTTGTTACAAAGATTGGATTGTGTTCCTACATATTATAGCAAGGGTGGACTTAAAAATTTCGATTTTTTCTGTCTATATTTCGAATCGAGATGTGCCTTGATAATACATCAGAATGTTGATTTTTCAGCAGCTTTTCCTATTTTGATAAGGAAAATGTTATTTCCTGTAATAAGTGATTATAAATATGCTAGTACAGACCTGGAGAGGTTTCAATCTAGTTGTGATTTTTCACTTTATGGGTTTTTAAAAGAAGAAGAAGGATATAGTGACCATAAACTGCTTTTGAATTATATCGAATGTGTAACTTATATTTTGGATGTAAGGTTTTGTTAATTTTTATAAAAAGTTATATTTAATATTGGTACTATTTTTGTTTTAGAAGCAGAAAAGTTATGTGAAAGAATTTTATGGCGCCGTTTGGTATTTATTGCATGTAGTATTTCCTTCATTTAAACTATGGAAATATAATGATAAAGAACATTTCCAACAAAGCAAAATATTAAATGGTAAACTCATCAATCAATAATATTAGTCTAATAATTATAGCATATGCTAAATCGATTGTAGAAAAAAAAGTTGTTTCATTGATTTTTTAAATTATGTATTTTCAGGTTGCCTTCGAGTATTTATTAAAATTCTTCAACAAGATCCCAACGACCACCAACTTTTGGAACAAAAAGCGTTATACAAATTAATACATGACTCTTTTTTGAATGACCCGTACATAATCGAGGCTTTTACCAAAGTTTTTGTGAGAGACAAATATCTTCCTAGTTTAATGCATCAAGAATCCAATTGGATTGCTGGAGATACTCTAATTGTTGTGGATGCAGTTAAATCAGAGTTTGCTCTTCTGCTGTTGATTTTCAAGTGCAGAGTAAAGTTACCCAATGCCAAATGCGAAATTGATAAAAAGGCTCATATTTTTGCCAAGACTACTAGCATATATTTTGTCACACCATACAATTGCACGCTGGAGTTTTTGGCTGGAAGATTTTTGGAAATATTTGCGAGGGTAAGTGTTTTAAGTTTCTAGATTTGCCGATCTTATACTCATACTCAATATGCTTTATTGCCCAAAAAATATAAATTTTCAATGATACTGAATAAAGTATCTAAATGCATTGATAGGTAAGTATTACATGAACTACGCAAAATCATTCAAGAATCTCGGAATTAGCCGAAGCAAAAAAGTATTGCCTTCCATACAATATAGACTGTTTAGGACTGATTTTGTTATTGTTAAACGCAGGTTATTATTAGTGTGTGTTCTGGTATTGTGCCTTATATTCTCAGGTTCCAGACCAGAATATTGTTTATTTATAAGACAGAAAGATGGCTGTGGCGGAAAATATGAAAATTGTTTAGTGGACTGTATGATGATTTGAAAAAAATGGAAATAAATGTTTAAACCCGGTACGCACAGATCACTTACCTTTGAAAAGGTTTCTGTTGGTTCTCTGGTACTGGTCCAAACTGAAGCGTGTTGACTGTAGCAGAGTACTCTGTAGCTTCTTAGGGCAGTAAAATAGGGGCAGTTTCGTTGTAGTGACCGAACCGTCCGATACGACACGAATTTGTACGGGCTAAACTTATAATATTTCTTTATGAATTTTATGGAAAATGGATAAAAATACTGTCACGGCTTTAGATTGCCTGACAGAAATCTTGGGTTCGTTGTTCGTTTCGTTTATTTCAAAAATCAAAGTCCAATTAACAAGCAATAATGTATTCCACTTAACAATACACTCTGACACTAATTACTTTAATAACTAACTCAACAATTAAACTCTTACAACTCGCAATAATCACTATTTAGATCGTATCACAGCCAAACTTTAACTTAACTTACAAACCAATGCCGGCCTTCTTATACAGGGTGTCCCAGAATATGTGGGCAATCTCTCGGATTCACATAGAACACAAAAAAATAACATGACAACTTCCTATAAAAAAAAATTCCTACGGCCCCCCCTACGAAGTTACGTGCCCCTAAAGGACGCCTCTGGAAATTAGTTTTTTATTGATAACTTTCAAAATACTTCGTGTAATTTTTTTTCCTTTTAATATGATGGATACTAGATAAGACACCTTAAAATGGACCCTCTCAAACACACTTGTCCAATCTAGTTTGCCAGGGACGGACTAGCTTTAATGCAATAATGACACTGAGGAAATATTACTAGAAAGGATTAATTTTCACTGTCCCGAAATAAGGGCTAATATTGAAGCATTGTTGAGACTCGAACAATCTTTCATTGAAATAGTTAGGGAATGCATAAGATTAGAAGGATCTCATGTTAAGTCGACATAAAAAATTATTTAATAAAAAACCATTAATACACAAATACAGATTTTTCTCGAAACCAGCTCATTTTTTTGACATCGAATAAGGGTACCTTTTTTCTAGTTCAAGGTTGAAACTATCTAAAAATATTATTGCTATGCCTCTATTATACAGGGTGTAAAAAAAATTAGCATTATTGTGCTAAAGCTAGTCCGTCCCTGGCAAACTAGATTGGCCAACTGTGTTTGAAAGGGTCCATTTTAAGGGGTCTTATTTAGTATCCATCATATTAAAAGGAAAAAAAATTACACGAAGTATTTTGGAAGTAACCAACAAAAAACCGATTTTCAGAGGCGTCCTTTAGGGGCACGTAACCTCGTAGGGGGGGTCGTAGGATTTTTTTTTTATAAGAAGTTGTCATGTTATTTTTTTGTGTTCTATCTGAATCCGAGAGATTGCCCACATATTCTGGGACACCCTGTATATCCCTAAATCTATTCCTGTAAAATCTAGAATACACACTATAATCTTATTTTCCAGATTATAGTAGAATAATTCGCTAGATTCTTGACAGCCTGGCGGCGAACGCTGTTTTTCTGGCCTGGCGTTAGCGATATCGTAACAATACTATATTTTGAAGAACCCTTGGAATAATAATAGCTGTTGTAACCTATATAAGAGTTGAGAGCTTCTTAACTCACGCATTTTCATTACCGCACTCTTTCTTAGGCTTTTGAAACTATAGTGACATCAATATTATTTACTATCAAATTGATATAAAACCATGTATGCTGTTATCGTGTTTTCATGGTAATTTCGTCAAGTTTACATTGTTATTTGAACAAAAGGTATTGAGGTGATTCAGGTAGCTGGTTTTTAGAATAGGTAATACAATTATTATTGAAATTAAATTTTTTTGTGTTAACTTTACACAACTCGTGCTACGCACTCGTTGTGCAAGTTTCACACGCGTATCTTAATGATGCTGTTAACTCACTTGTATCGTAAATATCTATTATAAAATTATCAATGTATAAATTTCCGAACCTAATAAAATCAGTGCGATTTATGTTTGACAAATTCTATTTTAGTAAAGAAAATAAGGAATTCGAAACACGTACCCTAAAAAACAAGTACCACCAACAAAACCAGATTTGGGTTATAAATAAAAAAATGCGTTCTGGTCGAGGCGATGTTCAAGTACCTGATCAGTGTTACCAGATTGGGGGATTTTCCCCCAAATTTGGGGGATTTTCAAGTAGATGGGGGAAAATCTGGGGGATTTTTTGGGGGTAAGAATTTTCGCTATTGGGGGAAATTGGGTATATTTCAATGAATAAAACTAAAGTAAAAAATTTATTAAAACAACTGCGCCATCTATTTTTTCAATCAAGTTCCAATAAAAATGATACAGTTTGCTTCTTCTCGGGAGGAACCAAAGAATATTATAGACTAACGTCTCTAGAAGAACCGTCCGGCGGCGAAAATATAAACCTGCGTGATGGCGCTAGTGTCCTAGTAAAATCAGTCGTTTCTGCGATTAAATTAATTTAAAACACAAAAATTGTTTCTGTCTGTGTGTCTACCTATGTCCGTTATAGACTTTGAAACTATCCGATCGATGTGCCTCAAACCAGTTTAATGTTTAATATGAAAGGCAATAATAATAAGAAGGTTTTAGACCGCTAATGACAGGTGTCAACTGTCAAATTGAGACAGTTGCAGATTGAACCATATCTTCACAACGGATTTTGCTGAAATTTAGCATACACTTTAAGTTCGGATGATAATACATTTTAGACCACTGATGACAGGTGTTAACTGTCAAATGTAACAGATGCAGATTTGTGAACCATTTCTTCGCAATAGATTTTGCTGAAATTTTGCATACAGTTTAAGTTCGGATGATAATACAATTTGGAATACTCAACACTCAAATGTAATTTTTGACAGCTGTCAAAATATGACAGGTCGAGAGGTGAACAGGTTGTCAGGACTACCCCCGTCTTTGAAAATTTGCTTTTTTCGACAAATAGACAAATTTCAAAAATAAATAACCCATAATTTTGCACACCGATTTTCAAAATTTGCACACTTTTCTAGGGAAAGTTATATCGTATCAAAAATTTGCATAACCCCACCCGTTTTTAAAAAAATTGATAGACCCCTATGCTACTCGTTTCATCTAATTTTGGACAATTTTGCACACCTATTTTCAAAATTTGCACACTCTTCTGGGAAAAGTTATGAGGTGTGATAAATGTGCACTTTTTTCCCCGTTTATCTGAAACTTGAAAAATTGTTATACTACTCGCTTCGGCTAATTTTGCACACCTTATTTTTAATTTTACACATTCCTCTGGGAGTTGAATGTTGTATTAATTTGCACGTTTTCCCCTGTTTGTCAAAAAATTGAAAAACCCTTGCTACTGGGTTCACTCAATTTTGTACGTTTATTTTCAACCCAAATTGAGTAACATAAAAATTTTTAATTTTCTCAAAAAACCGGCGGAAAAGTGCACATTTTGCAAAATTTGAAAATAGGTGTGCAAAGTTGTGCAAAATTAGGTGAACCTAGTAGCATAAGGATTTTTCAACTTTTTGAAAAACGAGTGGGGGGAGAGTGGGGAGACAAGCATAGGATCTTTTAATTTTTCGACAAACGGGGGGGAAAGTGCAAATTTTTAATGCCTTAATAACTTTCCCCAGAAACGTACGCAAAATTGGCCAAAGCGAGTAGCATAAGCGCAACTAGGCTCCAAATTTGAGGGGTGTTGCAGCACCATTTTTTGTTTTTTTTTTTTTTTTTTGGAGTTTGATGGAAAGAAAATCAGACGCGTGAAAAGTTGGTTTTACGAGGGTTTGTACTTACGTCATCATTTGCCTTTTTTTTAAAAAATTGATTTTTTTATGTCTGAAATTTCAAACAAACATATAGTTTGTTTCACGGCACGCAAGTTTTTACTTACGTCATCGATGACTTCATAACTTAGAGAAAAAGTTATGTCATAGATTAATTCATGGAGCACCTTCGGAATTATTGTTTTGTAATACATTTTTTAACTTAGAAGAGAATTTATTCAGTTATCCGAAAATATATAAATAAAATTTCTCCTAGAGTGATTTTTGACTGTAAATTTTTGAAATTTTCCTTCTGCCAGTTTTCCAGAAAAAAATTAAAATTAAAAAAATGAATTTTGGTTAAAAGTTAGTTTTCCAGAATTTCTTCTGGAGTGATTTTTTACTGGAAAATTTTGAAATTTTTATACATACATATAATGAACTTCTCACTTTCCTCTTTCTCCTGTAAAAATTTCAAAATATTTCTTGTGGTGGATGAATTTTCCTTAATTTTACTTGAAAAAGTCGATTTTCCAAGTGATTTCTCACTGGAAAATTTCGAAATTTTCCTATAATGAGCTCCTTATTTTCTTCTTTCTCTTGGAAAAATTTCACAACTTTTGCTTTATTAGTTTTCCAGAAATAAATTGAAATGTGAGAGGATGAATTTTCCTTAATTTTGCTTAAATAAGTCAATTTTCCAGAATTTTTCCTGAAGTGATTTTTTACTGGAAAATTTTGAAATTTTGTTTTAATGAGATCCTCACTTTTCTCTTTTTTCTGAAAAATTTCCACAATTATTCTTTTGCCAGTTTTCTAGAAAAACAATAAAATGTAAGAAAATGAATTTTGCTTAAAAAAGTCAATTTTTCCTTAGTTATTGCATT